CCATATATAATTTTAAGAAAGTACCCTTTTGGATATTTTCTAATAAGTTTAATCGAACGGACTTGTTTAGGTGTTTGTTGGTTTTAGAAAATGTTTTCTGTTTTCTATTTTTTAAAATAATTTTTATTTTCAAAATTTGAAATTTAGAAAACATGTTTGATTTAATTTTTTTATTTTCTAATTTTAGGAAATGAAAATAATGAAAATGCGATTGGATTACCAATTTCTAACAATATATTTATAATATATATCTTCAACAATATTAGTATCATTACATTATTTATTAAAATAAATAACTAATTATAAATGTAATTAACATTGCATTGTAACAAATTAATAACTATAAATGTAATTAACATCTAAACACGAGCATACAATTTCTCTACTCCTCTCTTCACTTAGGCCACCATGATTCTGCTACACCACTCTGATACATCCTCCTAAGGTCCCGATACATCTCAGTAGCTCCTAAATGAATGTCCTACCTCTAAAAACATCTTTCTTAATTGAAGGGTACTAAGCACCCAAATTTGTTCTTGCACCTCAAAACAACATCGATTCTACTTAGAAAAGTTATCTATATTCCTACCAATCTTTTCCACTTGGTTCTCTAAGAAAGGCTCTAACTCCTAGGCTTCTCTAATCTCATCCATTAATTCACTAGTCACATTCAACATAATCAATTCAATGCTCCTAAGGATAATCTCACACACAAAGCATAAGTCTCTAAATTCTTCAATCAAATCCAACCCTTAAATCATCAAAAATGATATACCAGAGGTCATCATAATCAAGGCATCTGCCACAATATTGGTTTTACTTCTATGATCATCTCTAAAGATTAAGTACCTAAGCGTAAGTTCACTAGGTATACATATCAGATCTCTAATTTCACCACTCCATCTACACCCAAGTCAAACTCTTATCCATCACCTTATCCTATAGCCTCATATCTTGTCACCAAAATTATGCTTTTCCAATTTCCTTCAACAATCCATTCGTTACTCAAGTCATACTTAGTCTCACACTACTAAGGGTAACCTTATAAGCCAAACTTAAATCTCTAATTTGAGCCAAAAGGATTCATCTCTCTAATCATAGGGGAAGATAAATATAAAGGTTTCCTACACAAAACATCGGTCACCACAATAGCTTTACTCAATTAACAACTAAGTTTGAAATATTAGTCCTCTAGAAATTAAACTATCTCTTTAGTCACATAATTAACTACTCAGTCAACAGATAATTAAGGCTCTAACGATCAAAAAATACTTCAAGCTTAGAATCATATACATAATGTCTCCAAATCTTAGTATAAATATTAAAGCTACTAACTCAAGGTCATAGATAAGAAAATTCCTCTCATGAATTTTCAATTGCCTAAAATCATAACCTACTACCTTTCCTTCTTGTCACAATACTCCTCCCAAACATATCTTTAGAAGCATAACTATATATCACAAAAGGCTTACTAAGATCGGCCAATGCTCACACTAGCGCACTAGTCGATCTTTCCTTAAGAATTTGGAAACTACTATCACACTTACTATCTCACACAAAAATAACACTCTTCTTACTCAATATGTTCAAAGGTAATGCTATCTTAGAAAGTTACTCAATAAATATCCAACAACAATGAGCTAATCCAAGAAACTCATAACCTCGCTAATAGACTCATGTATCTCTCACTTAAGCACAACTTCTATCTTAGATAGATCTACGTTATACCTCCGCAAGAAAATTACATGGCCTAGAACACTCATCTCATACAGTCAAAAATCATACTTAGATAATCTATCCTAAATTTATCTTGGATATATCTTCACACTTAACTCTTAATATGGTGATATCACATCCTAAGATCAATCTCATTAATACACAAACATCCACTAATTGATCCATAAAGTCATCTATCCTCATATATACATACATGCATATCAAATCATATTAGAATACCTACTTTAAAATCTTCATATATACTATCCCTAAGCATATACGAATCAATCATCGTTTACACCATAAAGCATGAATCAACTTTACCACATAACATCATACAATCTTAAACAACCTCTCAATCCACCTAACATCTTAGAATCATGACAAAAATCAATTTTTATCCTTGCATTGTCTAACGATTCAAAAATATCATGACACCATACATATCCCTTCAACAATGATCAAAGAAAATGATACCTAGAGAGTTATACTCATCCAAATGATCTCAAACCTATCTCAAAAGAAAGCTAAGAGAATAAGTTAAAACTCTTATGAAGACATAAAATTCTAAAAGATCCTCTTCTTAGCTAAAAATTTCAAAAACCGCAGCAGATATATTCGGCGCTTACAGCTAGACCTTTGATCACCAAAGTAGCTATAACTGGAGTTCTAGACCTCCGTTTTACCTGATTCCAATTCCATTGGAAAGATAACGTCTAAGGCTACAACTTTTATGAAGATCATAAAATCTAAATCTGTCAATATGGTAGTCATAATGGCACAACAAAACTGCAGCGAAAATATCCTCTACACCAAACAGCAATAGTATATCAATATATCTAAGGCCACAAAAATACATCAACCCTTCCAAACTCACACCTCAACTTCATATTCAAGCTTCCCACTACAATCCTAAACCAAACAACTCACATATTTAGCACAACAGACTTAGAAAATAAAACTCACATGCTACCTAAACCATAAACGGTAAACATGCCAACACCAACACTCAAGGGAATTACCAACATTTCAATCTCTCATCAAGGATACCAAAACTCCAATTCTCATATACAACCTCCTTGGATTCAATCGCTACAACTATAGATTCTAGAAACTCCATTAACCGTAAACTCTCGACAAATCAATGTCTCACCCAAATCTAAGGTCCCAATAATTTCTAGTTGATTAGCAAGGCTTCGTCCACTACTACTGGCACATATGCTTGCAATACGAGCGATACCACTCAACCACTACTTCTTACGTAAGCAAGAAGTATCAAAACAAATAAGCAATCATGAATAGCCTCAACTAAGCTATATCATGTCTTTCAGCCAAATTCTGAGAAAACAATATAAGTGTAAGCACAACACTAACAACACAAGGGAAACATCATCATCATCATCATTATCCTCATCATAAAGCAAAACATATTCCATCATTCATCTACCAAACAAGCATAGTAGACTCATAACTCACGGCCGATTGGATCGACCTGCTCTGATACCACTAAATGTGACACCCTTCTACCCCATAATAGATAAGTAACAACAATAAGAATAATTCAATAAATATAACATCAAGAAGGGTCCACATATTTTAATAAAAACTCATAGGTTCACAAGTCTTGAAATAAATAGAAATAATAATAATAATAATAATAAAGTTTTACTCTTAAAAGAAAATTATCAAGGTCTCTAAAGAAAAATGAAAGGGATCCAGAATTTACAAATATAAGGTGAATATAAAACTCCTAAAAATAAGTCTCCTCAAACGACAAATAACAATTCATAACTAAAGCATCCTAAATTCATGCCCCAATGTCACATCCTATCAGAGCAGAACCCTTTCCCTTTAGAACTCAACACTATGAGTGCCTTCATCTTCACCTAAAAGAAAACCACATAAAAACAGGACGGTGAGAGATAGATAACATCATATATGAACATAGAGCTACCCAATTCCCACCCCACACCGTGCACCAAAATATCATCATTAACTATAAACAACAAATACATCTCATATAATTACCAAACATCATTTTTTTTCAATCATACAAGCTTTCATACACATGCTCACTATATGCTCATACACATCTCCTCTCCTAAGAGTCTCAACTTGGCACTCCGCACAATGGGCGTACCTCGTCAATTCCCTTAGTTGTTGCCAATGCGGGCATACCGTTCTCACACCCTCCCAGGGCCGGTATGTTGCACGGTTAAACACCCAGCGGCCCGTGCAAAGGCAATCCACCCACCGTTAAACCCTCTGTGGCCAGTGAGCTGCGCAGTTAAACACCCAACGGCCCACGCATGGAATGCCTCCCGTCATGGTCCCCCCTGTCTCAACCCCTCTCTGGGCCCAGGGTCCAATGCAATATAGCCACGTCTGGCTTCTCAAGCACCACATGCAACTCATAAGTCTCATGCAACTCATGCATCCCACGTAACTCATAATTAATGCATCTCCATTATATAACATCATCACATGTCAATAACAATCCATGCAATATCATCCTCACATGCTAGGTACCTATCATTAAGTTATCAACATCATAGATCACAAATTTCACATAATTCTTCACACACATCACAATATCTATGACATTCAGTTAATAATTTAACCATAACTCGAGATATACATATCCTTTCTAAGTGATCCCAACTCCATTAGAATCCTAACATCAATATCTACAACTTTCATGAAGAACACAAATCCTAATAAAGTCGTTTAGGTTACCATTCAGGGCTCACA